CTAGTAAGTGTCTCTCAATGGCTAATCTTTCGCACAAAAAATTTTAGGCAACATAATATCAAGTTTGGTCTGATATCGTTTTTTCAAAGGATTAGAACGAATAGAACCTCCGAAAACCAGTGAGCATACATCGAAATTACCTTGTACTGCTTGTACTTGTATTCAAATATCTGAGAATTTAATGTATTACTTCCCTTAGTTGAAGAAATTATCGAAAATATTATTAAGGGTGCCATAAGGCTTGGCACTTCTGCATCCAAATTACATGACGATATATACATGCCATTGCAACAACGCAACTTTGAAATGGAATTAAATAAGATTAATGAAACTACAAGTGCTAATGTTTACAAAATGGATGGCAGATCAAATTACTGGTGCCTCGTTAGTGCAGGAACTTCTGGGATAGGTATAAATTCCTGCGCTTTTTTTTGACTGATTATATAGATTGTTTATCTGTATCTGAAACTCCGTGAATAGGCAAAACCCGATTTGGCAAGGAACTTTTCGAATATGTCAAACGTAATTGGACACCGCCCCAAAGTTGGGTTAATGTACATTTTGAATACCTACACATGAATTTCGGAAATGGTATACAGCTTGACTGTTATGACTACGAACTTTCACCATCAGTAATTTTTGGATTGCGCATTGCCTATGCATTCTTTATTGAAAAATATTACAGCATGACGTTTATAGAATTTCGTACCAGAGCTCTTATGTACGGCAATGATATTTTCATGTTTGAGCCTGTTATCACCTGTTGCTATAAATATCTGAAGCTCCACAACAAACGAAAATTATTTCTATATCTTCATATTGACGAATTTCAGCTTATTGACGCCTGGGATGAATGGTATACTAGAAAAAATGTAGGAAAAATGCCAATAGAACTCTTCAAAAATATTATCCGCAATATTTCCAAATATATGGTCAGCCATAATTTTACTTTTATTCAGCCGTTTCTTTCAGGGACAGCTCCTCAAGCTGTTGTCGCACAAAAACAAGCTTCGACTATTTCATTTCACCTAGTTGACTGCCCGTTATTAGACAATGCATCTATGATACGGATTATGGATCATTTTGCAACAAAATTTAAAGCACCAACTTTTCCAAATCGTGTATATGAATGGAAACTCTGTGCCCCACTCCTTCAACTTTTGATAAATACAGGAGGATTGCCTCGCGCACTTGAACGACTTTTAATCACCTGCTTTTTAAGATTATGTGACGGAAAGACATTCTTTAATGAACTCAAAAGTCATGATTATAACGCTATTCACATGATGGTTAAAGAGGATCTTGAAAGGATGTATAATATTTATGGCGATGTGAAAAGTAATAAATATCTTGCTATGAAACTCATATATCATTGTGTTGAGGGAATTCCCGTTTCTGATAAAGATTGCTTAGATGAAAAAAATCCACATCTCACAATAGAAAATCTGCAACGCGATGGGCATATCATTCTTACCCCTTATGATAAAAGTTTGTACTATATTAGAATGCCATTATTTTTTATTCACATTTATAATGACATCTTAAAGATTGTTGATGTGGAAATGATGAATAAGGCTTTTCGAATAGATCATCGCATGCATTGGCAAGACTGGGAATTATTTGCGTTGAATTATGAAGCATTTCGCACCAATCTGGCTATCGAAATGGGATTTTCCAGAATGACTTTGGGAGAATTATACCCTGGCGCTTATGGAAATGATATTTATTTGCAAATGTATGTAGATTTGAAAAGGCTCCATGTGTGTGAGGCAAATGAGCGATTTCCAAATAATAAAAAATTGACAAACAAATCTGATAATGAACCGATCGACCTAGAGAGTGGAAATGTTGTGGTTCTCAATGATGCATCTGCTGATTTTGCAGGCATAATCTTAGTTAGAATGAATGGTGCAAGATGTCTATTAATGATTCAATACAAATGGGATTATGGTTCAAAGGAGATGACCAAGAATATAGTCGATAATGAAGACGCCAAAAATTTAAACAAGCTTATTTCTGAAATTAAAAAGATATATGAAGGTTATGAGCTCATTACAATTATCTTCACAACACAACCATATAATGGGCCACAAGACAAAACAGGTGCTCTAATCATTTCAAGAGACAATTTTGATAAACACTTCGGCCCTGTTTTTTCATCATTGGCCACATTTTCCTTTATTAGGGCTACTAATCCCAATTTTTGGGATGCAAAGAGGTTGAAAAATATTCTAGATGGTATTGGTGATGAATCTATTGATGACGTTATTAAAAAGCGGCCATATATTAATAAGGATCATTTTTACAGCGAGAACCCAAAGGCGAAAAAACAGAAGTTAGATTTTTTTCCACTCGATGTACCAGAAACTGATGTATATGCACCATATCTTTAAAATTAATCGAAAATATTTTTAGGAACGATTATCATTATAATAAATTTAGCATATAAGCACTAATATTAAAATTAGGAATATATCGGTTTTATTTTTGTTTATCATCAATGCAATGTAAGTATAAGAGTCACTGGTGAACTCGTACAACATCTACATATTTCCGGTTCATTGCTGTTGTTACTCGAACGATTCGGCCCTAAATACAACACCTCTTTAATTATTATTTTTAGCTCTGGCCTAAATATGTACTAAACTTTTATGATTACAGATTTTCTTATAACGAAATATAATGTTTAGTAACTTGTCAAGTATTTCGTCAGTTAGCTCCCATGCATACCAACCCAGCGCACTTAAAGATCTTCTAATGATGATGCTACACGATTAACAGTCAGAATTAATAATACACACGTTTGAGTTCATGTACATAGATCTCATAAAGAGTATGTTTACCTGAATAGCCATCATTTTGTAATACCTTCTCTATAGTCACATTTACTTATAATCATATAAGTTTTTAAAACCAACTTATATAACACTTATAAAATTTAACAAAATCTCTATAAGCACCAAATTCTTAAAATCAAGAGTGTAATTATAGAGAGGTTTGACTATACATGTAAATTGGCAAGGATATTCTCAATGCATTTGTATAAAAATGTGTTAAGCGTGTTAAGACGTAATTAATATGACATAATATCTTTGTTATTATCTGTTATTGAAAATACGTACCTTTGATCGATTTTTAATATGATTAATTATCAAACTTATTATAGCATTATATTTATATAAAGTCATGCCTAAGTTATATCCCACTGGGTTATATTCCAACCTAAGTTATAACCCCATATTTAAGCAGAATAAATTTCTTTCTGTATTCCTGCCTTAGTTATATCTCCAAAAATGCTCTGATATAACCAGGTATGACTGTAATTATATAAATACTAAATTATAAAAAATTAAAAATTTATTGTATTCATTTAATTATATGGGGTGTTAATAAAACCAAGCAAATTGTTTTTAAGTAAAATTTTTATTAAAATACAGTTATACCTGAGTTATATTCCCTTTTTTCCAGAGCATTTTTGGAGATATAACTAAGGCGGAGCTATAACTTAATATTTAAAACATATAAAAAAAATATAAAGAAAAATTTATTCTGCTTAATATAGAATTATATCTTCAGTTGTAATATAACCTAATGAAAATATAACTTAAATATAACTATATCTCAACAACTATTAAACTAAACTTGGTAAAATTTTTTTATTTTAATTTTATAATTACAGTCAAACCTCTCTAAATGCATAGCGTTGGGACCATAATAAAAAATTAAGAAAATATGCATTTAAAGAGGTTATGCATTTAGGGAGGTAAAAACCTATAAGTGTTATATTAGTTGAGCCCAAGAAAAGACATGCATTTAGGGAGGTTTTTCATATATATGCATTTAGAGAGGTTGCATTTAGGAAAGTCTGACTGTATATAGAATTAAAATAATAAATGTTGTAGATTATAATTTAAAATGAAATCTACATTTTCTACTCAACCTGTTAACCTTTTAAAACCTACTTATACTTGTTTATTATAACTTTACTTTAAAACTGACCCCTAACCCTAACCCCTATTCCTAAAAAATGCACCCAAAAATTTTTATTTTTCAAGATTTTATATTATAATTTCATTTTGATCTGGATTTCATTATGATCCGCCATAATAAATTTTATCAAGTTTGGTTTAATAGTTGTTATATTATTTTAATTTAAAATTTTAGCAAAACTTACTAAAACCAATTTGCTTAGTTGTATTAACATTCTATATTGTAATATTTTTATATTTAATTACTTAAGAACTTAGATATTGCATCTCTACAATATATTTATATCATATTTTAATAATTAACAAATCAAATATCAAGATTATATGTAATGTAGCATAATTGAAAAATTTTAAAAACAAATATTTATTATTTTTTGTGTACCGTATCATATATCACGTGAGCGGAGACGGCAAATGGGATTTACTTATTTGTGCGAGTGTTACAAACACAAAAAAGGAAATTCAACGTAAAATAAACTAAGTTCGCGAAAATAAAAATTCAGAGTTAGAACGCTAAAGTTAGATGCTATAGAATTAAACGTTTATCTCCTATATGTAAATTTTCATTTCCGTCACTTTTAATTAGTGACCAAAGACAGGTTTAAACACTCAGTTTCTTGTATTTTCGCTTTTTTCGTTTTTTTTTCGTGTTTT